AACTAAACAAATGCCCAGAATCTGCTCAGAGTTCAGAGGGTTTGAATCATGTTTTAACAATGACACTATCCTCCATTATATGCAACACAAAGAGACATGAACGATGCCCTCACACTAATAGACCTGCACACACATCAGCAGTTTCATGGCCATATGTTACCTCATTCTGGTTTTTCATTTTGCCCTGCATACATCTTTCAGGTGATGTAAAACAACATCAGGTGATTGCCGGACAGAAAATGTCACTAAAACTTTAAATGAATGGGTCATTTGTGGAGCAAAAATGAATCGAAATCTGATTGATCTCTAACTATGATGCTAGAATGAACCCATAAATGTCCTTTTTCAGGCATTTGTTGTTGTTTTTTAATTGTTTGTGTACAGTCAGATCTTCATATGACCTTCAAGCCTTCAGCTGTGGTCGCTCACACATGTGCGATGCTGCTGAAGAGCCTCTACCGGCCACCTGAGCTGCAACCTGATAATATGATTGACTACTAGGCTGCTCGGACAAGCCGTGAACCGACTCACCGCAGAGCATCAGCATGCTTCCTGCCTTCCTGTCAGTGGCTCAGTGCTGGCTAGCTGGATCCCCATCCCACCAACTGGGACAATTATATAAGACTTTCAAGAGATGCTCATGCATGACTGAGCAAAGCTCGACTCAACAGTGGCCTCTAACTCATGCTCTCCCTTCGCTGCTCGTCTTGCCCGCTGTATGTTTTTTAGACAGCGTGGCAGACGCGGGAATCCACAGACACATGCCGGAGCTCACCTAACAAATACCTCAGCTCAACTAAACATCGCTAATTCAACATCAAGTCCGTCTGTGTACAGTTTCGACTGTCAAACATGCACAACGACACATAAAATCCTGCTACTTACCCCAAGCTCGGTAACCAGGATGTCAGTGATGCTGCCCAGAACTGTCACACAGTCAAAAATATTCCAGGCATCTTTGAAATAATTCTGTGATCAGGACAAGAGAAAGAGAGAGACAGGACAGGGACAGAGAAGAAGCAGAAAAAAAGGGAACGTATGAGGTGACAGAGGAACATGGATGTGGCAGGGAAGAGATAAATATGAACATAGAAACGGGGCGACGTCAGGAGACGGAGACCACGTTGAAAGGAAAATGTCAAAATCGAAACGCATAAAAAGAGGTTAAAAGAGATTGAAAGGTAAGGAATTAAAAAAAAAAAAAAAAAGACAGAGAATGTGCGTCAGACAAGACAGAGAAGGAGAAGAAGAAAGTGGGAAAAAAAAAGAGAGAGACATGTCAGTGTCGGACGGGAACAGGAAAGAAATTAGATGAGACAAATGGACCATCAGTGACGGCATGCTGGATGGATGCCAGCAGACAGGCTCGGGACAAATTGTACCGCATCAGAAGACTACAGCAGCTATCAAACATCACGTACTGTATATTACTGTATAGCACCGACCAACACAATGTCACGGCTTCAGTTTGAACAACTTGCACAAACCAGTAACACGGCTCTGTCCCATATCTAATTACCCCCCACACACACATACATGGAATTACATAGTAGAACACAGCTTAGCAAATAGAAGATGGTGGGCTCTTCCTCTTTTGCTTTCCTACATATTGCCTGTAGCCAAACTGTGCATTAGATCGGCGAAGGGACGTGGAGAGAGCAAGGGAGGCGGCTATTAAAATAAACCACCTTGACGCACACATCTCTTCTGTTTGTGACATGCACGCTGAGTTTGTCCAAGCAAGCTCTCCAAGATTCAAATCCGCTCGTCCTTAATCACCACCCGCTCCGTAATCTCCGCTTCTCTTTCTTACCGCCTATATGTCATTCACTCTCATTCTTCTAATTACTGTATTACCCTTATCTCCTCCCAGCATTCATCCCTAAACCATCTCCTATATCCATTTTTTTTTTCTCCTTCCTCGTCCACCTCCTCTGCAGCTCTAATGACTGCACATTTTACTGCTGATTTCTGGCAGTTTTCTTTGCTTTTTTTTTTGGTTTTGTTTTACCTGAAAGCAGCTCATTAGTTCCCCCCTCCCCCCCTCAAGTTTCTCATTAAATATGTAAACCATAACGCACGACAGGCAAAGTGTGACAATGTGACGAGGCTGCAGCAAAGACCTTCATGACGTGAAACAGAGCAGCGTTTGCTGAATCCACTTTGCGTCTTTCAGCACATTATTTTGGTCATGAGTCATGCAGGCGTATTCAGTCTTCCTGTACTTCTTCTCAAGACTATTGCAATTATGCAGAAACGGCTTTCCGAAGATATAAGACAAGGCAGAGTGGAGCGCATCTACAAAGAACTTTAGGTGAGTAATTGTCTTTTTTTAATCCTAATAAAACGTTTCCGGAGTGTTTGTTTGCATTTGAATGGATTTCTGCAGTGTCACTGTTGTGTACCGGACTATAAGCCGCTACTTCTTTTTCACACACTTTGAACACTGCGGCTTAAACAATGACGCGGCTAATTTATAGATTTTTACGATTTTTGCAAATTTGCCTCGAGACCAAAGTGACATTGAGAGCGACAACGACAGAGAGAGACTGAGGAAGTGATTCTGAGGCTGTTCAACTCCTGAAGACACTGAAGAAGACGACTTTAGTGGTTTTAGTGCAGGAGGAAGATGAAGATAGCGATCAATGACTTTTCCTGGTAGGCTGCTGTAGTTTTTATTTTCTTAACCAGCCGTGTTACAGGAACTGTTTGGAAAAAAAGCATCTACGTATTTGTTTATGTTACCGGTTTGCATTTAATTAAAAGTTTAAAACATCTTTCTGTGCAAATATCTCGTGTTACAACGTGGACACCTGCAGCTTAGAGACGAGTGCGGCCTGTATATGTACAGAACTGGTTTTCTTTTAAAAGCTAGTGGGTGCGGCTTATATTCAGGTGCGCTTAATAGTCTAAAAATTACGGTACTTCCTGGCGATCCTTATTAATCTAATACCGTGTCATAATAATTTATAGAAACTATCTCCGTGATTCTGCATCCTCAACACACACATGCACTCACCAGAGCTCCAAATGCGATGATCTTGAGTACACACTCCATGGAGAAGAGGGAGGTAAACACTATGTTCAGGTTGGCTAACACGTCTTCATAGGTATTAGAAGCTCCGTCATACTGCAAACGAGACACACGCAGCAAATAACGCAGGTAACATGAGTTCATGTGAGCACACATGCAGACACACACAGAAAAAAGACGTGTAAAGACACATAAAGAGATTCAGCTCATCCAGTTGAGCGTCGTCCAAACAGCAAACACTCAGATGTCAACTTCAGCAACTTGGTGCTCACTAGTACATGTTGTTTCTGTCAGTGTTGGTATCTTACCTTCATCATCAGCACAACTGTGTTGAGTGCGATCATCGCCATGATAGTGTACTCAAACGGCGGCGACACCACAAACTCCCACATTCGATACTGAAAGCTCAGCTTGTTCTGAGGCATGTGACGCGTCAGAGGCCTTGCGTTGATGGCAAAGTCTATACAGGCTCTCTGTCAAAAAAAAACATAAAATAACATGTTTCTTTCCTCTCATCATGCCTCCTCCCAGTGCATTCACTTCCCCTTCCTTAATCCGTCCTCACCTCGTTCTTTTCTAAACTGTAATCTTCCATCATCTTGTCCCCTTGTTCCTGGAAGGTGATGATAATAAGAGCTACGAAGATGTTGACGAAGAAGAAGGGGAAGACCACGAAGTACACCACGTAAAAGATGGACATTTCCATCCGGTACCCTGGGCTCGGGCCCTGATTCTCATAGGTCGCATCCACTGAATGTTTCAGCACCCTGCGGGGACACGTTTAGGGTTAGAGGCTTGTCGGGAAGCGCGTGGTTTTTAAAAAAAAATGTACCCGCACATGTTCATGCAAACTCACTGCGGCCACCCCTCTCCGGTAGACACAGTGAAGAGGGTGAGAAGGGCCCAAGCCACATTGTCGTAGTGGAAATCGTACTTCTTCCACTCCCGCTTCTGCGCCTTCACTTCGTTTTCGCGTTCATACACCAAATATTCGCCTCTGAAATATACAAAACCACGTCATCAGCACAATGAAAGCGAAAGGGTTGAGGGGGGGGTTTGGTCTCACATTTGTGCGTAAAGCATCTCCTGACCTGCAGTCACGCTCAAACTCTTTGGACTCATCGGTACAGTAAAAGAATCGGCCCTTGAAGAGCTGCACCGCCACCACAGCAAAGATGAACATGAAGAGTAAGTAGACGATCAGGATGTTGAGCACATTCTTCAGAGAGTTCACCACGCAGTCAAACACAGCCTGAGGAGAGAGGAAGGCAACGGCACAGGGAGAGCTTTTGGTTACCGTGTGGAGAAAAAAAAAAACAAAAGACATTGGATTGAAATCGATGTTTGAATGTGTGTATTCTGGTCTGAAGTTTGGGCACCGCAGGAAACGTTTGCGTCAACACACCTTGAGTTTGGGAAGACGTTTGATAGTCTTCAGAGGTCGCAACACTCTCAGTACCCTCAGAGACTTGATGGTGCTGATGTCTTTTCCTTTACTGCTCCCCCTACATGCACGCACACCGCAACGCAGACACACACACAGAAGAGCGCACACACACACAGATTAGAGGAGTCAGCCGGCTCAGACGTAACACGACGGCTTCGGTCCTCTCGATTCCAAAATGGCAAAGTGGGCGGCCATTTCTTGATGTGCGTCCGAGTTAACTCAAAAAGAGTAACTGCGTGTGGGTTAAATACATAGCAACACATGCAGCGTTGCTATCATATTACGCCTTAGCCTCTTGCCTAAGTGTGAGGTTAGCATTTGAGCTACATGCTAGAGTTAGGTGGTATTTTACGACTACGGTACATGCTATGGGGACGACTGATATCATTCCTGTCTGAATGCTATCCGGGAGCTACACTCGTTTATTACTTTGCAACGTATTTCAATGCTTTACAAGGATGGCTTAAGCCTCGGCTTGCACATGCCCAGCTAATGGTGAAGTATAATCATGCTGCATTGAAACCTTGCTTTCCATGCTGCAATATTTCTACTTTGAAGCAGCAGGTTGAGTGACGGACAACTCTATTCTATATAGAGACATTTGCAGAGAGAGTTTAGTCGTAGTCGTAAAGCGAAGCAAAGTAAACTCCTGCTCCACATTATCAAAAGTTTAAGAAAAGGTAAAACAACTCCACAATCTTCAAACATTTTGGTGGCGTCAATGTGTTCCAACAGCGGTTAAAAACTTAAAACGAAGCGCCAAACTCTCTCTTTTGATGACTCGACCGGTTCGTTTCTATAAGACTACAACCTGGATCAGCTGGTTTCACAGCATTGTTCAAACAGCATGGAAGCTTGTCTTGTGGGGCTTTTTGGCCAAGACAAGGACACTTTAGCGAGCATTTCTTTGATGAAATGCGAAGCCAAACCTCTTTCTTTTGTAGCACTTTGGCAATTTCTAGGTTCATGTGTGAGGGGAGAAGTCAAAAAGAAGTTGCATTTACAACTAAACTGCCTAAAGAGAGTGTAAAGATTTAACTGAGCCTAAAAAAAAAGGGGCCACTCTCAGCACCATAGAAAACTTCACTGCTCTAAATACCTTTTTTAAATTAAATCCTCCCAGTGTAAAGATCATGGTGAAGAAATTAAGTTCAAAGGTCATTAAAGTGGTCCTGAGGGGGGACAGCATCTGTGTGCACAGCTGCATGTGTCATCCAGCTGTTGGGCCAGATGGCAGACTGCTGCTGGTTTTGTGAGTATGTGTGACTTTGTGTGTGCACTCACAAATATGCTTTTTTTATTGGCGACATCTTCACCAGTGATTGTTTGAGAATAACTTTCCTAATGGAGCCTTTTTCTGATGTAGTTTCTATCCTTCATCATATTTTCTGTGATAAACCTGCAAGTCTAATTTCCCAGATGCAGGTTAATGCGAGGTTTAAGTTGAGTCAGAGCTGTTCCATGGTGAACAATGGATAAAAAAGGGGGACGAACAGACGAGTACACGTTTCAGCTGTGACGTAGGGATGGATGGAAATGAGAGAGAGCCAGTGTGGTCAGAGGAACAGACACCGAGAGTGCAAGAGAGGAGAGAAAAAAGGAGGAGGAACAAAGAAAGAGAACTTTACCCGCCGCCGCTGTTGGTGGTTCCAAACGAAGAAGAAGAGATGAGTAAAGGGTGAGAGACAGCGAGACAAAAAGGGAGAGAGGAGACACAAAAAAAACAAAAAAAAAACCAGACCCGGGGTGGGAGAAGGAAACAGAATGGGACACAGAGAAAGCAGGAGGGGGTTTTTGAGGGAAAAAAACATCCACATGAGAGACAGAGAGAGAGAAAAAAGAGAACACAAGGCCTGCTTTTTGTTAGATCAACCCTCTACAAATAACACATGCACCTCGACATGCACACTCACAGTTTAGACAAATCACAGCATCAAACTACTGCTGACAACAACACACTGGTTACAGATCTACATGTTGTTGGTACACCTTTAACTTTTGAGATTATCGCTACCTTTAAAGGGTAAACTGTGAGGTGGAACTGCACGAGTAAGTAACAAATCGCTGTGAGGGTTGATAGAAAGTCATTTTGCACACATGTTTGCCGGTATAACGGGCGTCCCAGAATGTCAAGGCATCCCTTTAAGCTAACCGAACTTGATTAGTCATCACCGCTGGACATGAATCTGCAAGCCCGACTGCAGAAATATGCACGGACAGCGGTAAAAGTGGTCCAAGACACGGCAGCCCTCAGACCAGACTAATTGGATTAAAGGAGCGATAAACATCTCCAATGAGACCACTGATCCTTTCTGGAGTACTGTTTGATTTCCACCAATTGAATTAAGCCCCTATCTCGATGTGTACGAGTCTGTTCTGACTGGTTCAGATCGCCGCCGTAGTTAAATCAGACTTCATTGCTTAAATTGGTTATTATTTGTTTGCGATTAAATATTCCTTTTTTTTTTTTTTTAAATACTGAATGACTGCACATGCTTCCATTCATAATTCACATTTCTGTGGGAATTACTGGAGAGAAGAAGTAGCGCAGACTTACAAAGTTGACCCACATGTAACACAGAGACGTTAGAGGACACAGAGATAAGGACAGATGCACACATATATACACACATATATATACAGAAACATGGACAGATTCAACTAAAATAAGGGGGAAGAGTGTTAGTGAAACACATATAAGGATGATTCAGAGAGAATGACTGGAGCAAAAGCCAGTCTTAAAAATGGAGCACCACCACGAGAACCCTGGAGCACCTGCCGTTTACTCAACTGGTCTAGAATCAGGAAAAATATCAACAATACCGAGGCGTAGCAGGGGTTTGGTTTGTGGAAATTCAGTGTACTCTTTGCGTAAATTTGACGGTAAAATGGTTTAAACGTTCTTCTCTTCTGAGGTGACGTTTTTCACTAAATCACCAAATCATCCGTCGATAATTAGCCTCCACCCAATGCAGCAGTGCAAAATAAACAAAATAAGAAATGTCCAACCACAAAGCACAACATTAGAAGAATTCTTCCAATTTAAAAAAAAAATAAATAAAAAAATAAAATCCTTGAATGCATTGATTCACAAGCTAATGATAGATATCAGGTTGTGCAGTGGCGGATTTTTTCCTTCAAGGTAATGGATACTGCTGCCCATAGACGTGTGTGTGGCTGGTAACCACAAATATCTGGTGTGGAGACTTCAACAGTCCACAGTTACTCTATTTCCTCTGGATCTTTCATTAGTGGGACCTTATCTTCTACATATTTAGTGAAAAAACTTGAGGCCAGAATGATGAAGTTTGGGGGATTTTGAACGATGAAGGCTTGGACAAAAAGCAAAGGGTAGAGAGATTTGTAATTATATACATGAGAGTATTTAGTTTAAGACTTCTTTGGCTATAATTAAGAAGTGTGGGCTTGAAAAATGACCAATCAACACCTCCAGAACCGTTATAGGAGCTCTGAAGGGACAGTTAGAGGATACCATGCTGGGAATAAATGCAAAGTGGTGGGGTTTGCTTTGGTTTAAGCTTTACGTTTACTGAAAGTTAGTAAATGGTAGGTCATCCCAAGTATAGTTTATCAAATGCATTCACTTATTTATGCCGTTTCAGACCATCTTCATTGAGGATTTGAAAGATCGTTACGGTTTTCAATTCACTTCTGTTGAAATTAGCAAATAAATTTGGATTAATTCATGTAAACTGATCATTCTAATAAGAAAAAAATCAAACAAGATCCAATACAACAGCCCTGCAATCGTCCTCTTTTGGTAAAGTTTATAAATGTCAAAGAGGTGTTGAAGTTGCATAATTTTAAAGCATGTAGTTGGTATTTGGCTGTGATATGTTGACATTTCTTTAGAAACTGGATTTATCGCAGGGCTACAGCATTGGAAACATTTGATACACATGCGTACAGGTGTTATACTGTCACTGGGGAATTAAATGAACGGGAAAAAAACCCCCATCGTAGCCCACCGACACAAGAGAGGGCTCGGTGCCGTCCGACATGAATGGCAAAAGGAGAAAGCACGCGTCTCATTTCATAAAAGTTCTGAAGCCATGATAATTCACTGAAGCAAGACGGTTAACGTTTACTGTATTCAGTCCTCAATTCATAATTAATGCATTACCTCTCTGTCACGAGGCAACACAAACAACAAGTCTCTGGACTCCAACTATGTGAATCAGCCATCTGAATCTTGGGTAATTACAGAAAACAACAAAAAAATTGCAAATGATAACAGCAACAGAAGACTGAAAATATCCCAATCTTACTTCAGTGGTTCACAGGCTTGTGTGTTACAGCTGTATTCAAACTTATTGCCGATGAATGTTGACATTTACGGAGCACTGGTGTCGTGCTAAGCTCACTCTGTGGCAGATTTGCCTTCGAGGAAATCACAAATGGTCACTTACTTGTTGCGGGATCGACATCACTTGTGAATCCTTTATTTTAAAAAGAAACAACATGAGCCACTGTGCTTGTAGAAATGCTTGCTCTCCATGCGAGCATGCTTCTCGCGTTTGATAAATATACTACGTCAGCCGTCACCTTTCTCCACTCATGTGTAACTTAAACACAAAGCCACAAAAACTACACTTTCTGGGGGCTCGTATCTGCTTTGCTGCTACCAGAAAATACATATATAGATGTTTTAAGAAAAACATCAAATGGAGTCAAGCACTGTGGTTGCAGCATTAGCTTACTGTATGGCTATAAAAAAAAAAAAAGACATGTTTATTGTTGACTGCAGTCAAGAAGATCCAGTTTATTTCATAATCTCCCCAACCATGCAAAAAGCAAAAATCATGCTTTGTACCCAGCATAGTACTCATTACCTCAGCTCTAACTTAGCCCAGTTATACAAACATAACTGCATTTCATCCTTACAGTCATGCAGATCGAGTAGAGTTTAAAGTACCTGCGTTGTCGTGGAGAGGGGTGTGGAGATTTTGGGAAGCAAGCTCATCATGACCTGGCCTGGCTTTGCATGGGGCCTTTAACTCTAGAACGCCCTGGGCACTAAAGGGTTACAGGTGCAAAGGGTGGTCCTCACCTCTCACAGAGAGAAGAAGCGGTGGACAGGAAGAGGATGCCGGGAGACTATTTTTTTAATAACATGTAGGGGGTGTAAGCAGTTGGTGGAGGGACTCAGGAGATAGAGGGGGCTTAGAAATGGAGGGACTGCAGGAGTTAAGGCCAATGTGAGAGCATAAGGAAATGGCCAAATGTAGAAAACTGGCCATTTGTTCTGTAAGCTCAGGTTAAAGAAAAGAAAGTTTCATGGAGGAGGAAGACAGGAGAGAAGAGAATGAGATAAAATGAAAGGACAGAGATCAAGGGAGAGAGAGAGAGGGAAAAGAAAAAGCCAAAAATGAGCCATGGGTGAGTAGAGAAGAAGGAGGCTGTACTCCGAGGCACCAGAGAGGCAGTAGACAGCCAGGAGAGGAGGAGGAGGAGGATGTGTGAGGACAGAGAGGAGAGCAAAGAGGAGGTGGGGGAGGCAGGAGGGAGACTTACGTGAAGGCGAAGGCCACCAGAGCACCACTAACCACTATAAAGTCAAGGATGTTCCACAAGTCCCGGAAATAAGAGCCCTGGTGCAAGACCAACCCCAGATCCACCATCTGGAAGAGAGACGGGAGACGTGGCTGAAAAAACCAGGCACGCGATTACAAGAAGAAGCGCTAATGTTTGATCCTCGTTCGGCGTTGGGGGGCTGTCAATGCTTCGGGGGTCGGCTCTCGGTTCCCGGCGTTGCTTTACCTTTATCAGCATCTCAAACGTGAAAACTCCTGTGAAGACATAGTCGAAATAGCGGAGAACCTGCGGAAAGAAGAAAAGGTGGAATGATCTGATGCTGCACCCAGGAAGTAGAAGCCGATTGATTTATCTACCAACGAAAAACGGAGTCTTCTAATTGTTTTGTATTATTTGATATTATAGTTTTATTCTTGTTGGAGGCAGTGCTTTCCAGAACTATAAAAATGCTTCACAGGAAGAATTTATGTCACACCAGACAAAAAAACAAACAAACTGTTATTGATGATAAACACAACTATTCCTCCTAAAGGCTCGATTTATATGTTTTACTTTATTTATTTCCTAGTCCGCCCTCACACACGTAGAGCACTGTAGTGATGCTACCAAGGCACAAACAACCGGCACACTGAATAAGAGCAGTAAACATCACGCCCACGTCATATTTTAGGCATCGACACACGAATGCGTATCGACTTTCTTACGTTGTTTCGAGGGGATTCAGGCCAGACGGGGTCTTCAGCTGCCAGGGCGATGCTGCTCATGGCAATAACTAGCAGGATGCACATCTCGAAATAACGCAGGGTGCAGATGTAGTGACAGGCTCGCCGAAACCTGGAGCAGACAGAGATGTTTGGTTTTTTGTTGTATTAGTGCTATTAGATTGTATCTGCACGTAGAATCCAAACCGTAGTAGAGGCTAAACACACTTACAGAGACTTTACACCCGTTAATGTGCTAAAACTAAGCTTCCTCTTTCACAAATCCGAGGATTATTCAACTTTTTCCACTAGAACCCAGCTGAGTTATTTCAGAAACACGGCGTCCTGTTAACAGGTCACTGCAGAGCCACATGGAGACCAAATAGGTAGCTTAGATTTGAGATTAAGAAGTTCATCCTTCAAGAACAGCTGAGGTAAAGTAGGTGGTTTATTTTATCAACACATCCATGAGTATACTGTAGTTTACTTTGAGTCTACATGCTGTGTTTGACTGTTGTCCATCCAGAATTTAGCAAAGAATCCAAAGAAAGAGTAACTCAATGATGAGTAAATGCCTCGGTTACGTATTTCGTGTACATATTTGTGTGGGTTAGAGTTTTGTTAAGGTGTGAAACCTACGGGTTGGTGGTGGACAGGATGAACATGGAGCTGAATGGAGGCATGGGCCTTGGTCCTCCTTCACCTCCCTTCTCGTCATCGTCGTCGTCCTTATCCTCCTTGGCTGGCAGAGGCTCTGTGTTGGCATTTTTATTAACTGGTTCACAAAGAGAGGCAGGTGTGAAAATGAAAGTCTGCTGTTGGAGTAAAAAGTTCAAGAAGAGGCTGGACAGTGGGGGATAAACATATTAATTCAGTCCTCACCTTGCAGTATGGCATTGGTGGAAGGAAAAATTGGCATATCCACAGCTGTGTAGTCAGGGTGAGGCAGCCTGATCACACTGTTGGCACGGTGATGTCCGATATTCCCATAGCTGTCCAACGTGACCAGACTTCCATGGGTGCCACTGTTAGCGAGATGGAGGGCGGATCCGAAGCCAGGGGCTACAGTGTGATTGGCGATCGGATTGGGGCGACCATCGCTGGGCGGAGTCGAGCCAGAAACCAGTTTGGTGTTCATGAGGTTGTCCATGTCCTCGCTGTACTGGCTGTTCTGCCTGGAGAGGCTCTTTTGGATGGGACGTGTGGTGGAGAGGTTAGGGACGCTGCAATCCCTAGAAAAAGAAAATGACACAAAGAGAAAACTGTGACAAGAGACTCTTCTGTTGGATCAGAAGACATCATATCTACATCCATGTGTGATGGACGTACTTCCTTCTGTGTTGGCACATCCTCTTCCCTTCGCCCTCGGTTTGATTTCCATGGCGACTCCTTCTTGGCCTCCTCTCGCCGCCATCGCCGGCTCCCTCGTGCTCCCCTCCGTCTCCACCTCCGTCCACCCCTTTGCTCTTATGTCTTCCTGATCTTCCACCTCCTCCTGCGCCATCCTCGCTATCTTCTGTATTCTTTCGATGCGACCTGGGCTTCCTGTGTTCCGACTGTCCTCCCCCTCGACTGCCGCTCCGGGTGTGGTGGTGGCGCCTGGACGGCCTCTCCTCCGAGCCCGGCCCGGGAATCACTGTAGCGTCCAGCCGATGGGAGACTCGGTGGTGCTCGCCCTTGCGGCTCCGCTTGCTCTCCGTGGACTCCCCGCGCTCCATCGGAGGCCTGGACGGTCCCGAACCTCCTCCGCCGCCTCCTCCGACTTGGCCGTGGTGCTCGTGGAGGCGAGTTTGCCTGTTGAGCTCGTCGGCGGGATGGTGCTGGCTCACACAGAGGTCTGAATTGTTGGCAGTGGTCTTGTTGGTGTTGTTGTTGCGGTTCTCGTGGGGGTCCACCACTAAGGGTCGATCCAGGTGGGTCTTCATGTCTGGGCGGATGTGGCGTGCAAAGTTCACCTGTGTGTAGAGGACAGAAAAAAACATACAGAAGGAAGAAATTTTTACCAAAACGGGCAAAATTATTGTAGCAATTGGCAAATTCAAGCTAGTGTATAAAGTACTGTTGGCAAATCTACCACAAATACATCGTTAACTAGACTAGAACACGCCAGAATCATCTCAGCCGTAACTTGTGTACACTGATATCACAAGTCTAGGGGCCTTTGTTTGCCTTGTCCTTTACATTGTTGTGCTCCTCCCTCCCTGTCCTTGCCTTCCAGCGATCGTCGGGGTCCAGCTCATTATAGAGGGCCTCGCGGCTGGACGCCAGAGTCTGCTTCCTCAGCTCCTTGGTGCGCTGTTCCCACACCGACTTATTGACGCCCTTATTGTGGTTCTTCTGCTGCTCCTTACTGCAAAACGAAGCAGGAGAGGAGAGCATTGGCGGCGTTAGGGCCCGCTTCAAGACTCGACGCTGTGTAAATGTATTACACATAAAAAAGACATGAGAATGATGAGGTGAAAACCAACACCAAAAATACGTAAAATAGCCAGGACAGAAAGACACACTGGGGGCCACAAACATCTAGAGGGTCATTTGGCTGGACCTATAGATCAACAGAATAAGGCTCTGGGTGTCTACACGGCTTGCCAAAGCCCAAGGCAGGACAGCCCTACTTTGGTAAACCATGTGGGGACACGACGTGGAGGATAACACTGAGGCGAGGTCAGAATTTGTTGGAATAGTGTAGAATTATGAAGAATCAAAGAAGCCGAAGGCAAGTGAAAATGGAAGTCCCCACTAAAGCTAAATCGAGTGACTGAGCAGTCAGAAATGCACCAAAAACTGCCAGTGACCACCTCCTTCTCTTACCCTCCAGAACTTTAACCAATGATCATCTTTAACTCCCTTTTCTGTCAGGGCCAACAGTCAACCACAGTAAAGCAACAGCCGTACTGCGAGGTGCAGGCAACGGAAAATGTACTCTTAAAAATAAGGCAACACAAAGAACAGCTAAAGAAAGCCAGGAAATGTAAACCATAAGAAAAAAGTTAAGAACAGAAGGGACAAAAGGAAGAGGAGGGTGTTCTTAAAACACAAAAGAAAGCAAGGAATGGTTTGTAAAGTCAAGAAACAGAAGGGATTCAGAAATGAATAAACAAATAAATAAATACCAGTCCAGAAAGGGGTCGGTAGCGTTGTGACACTCACTGTGTACTTTGTTGCTGAGGAGGGAAACAGCTGGTGAGTGAGATGGCACGAAAGAACAGAAGGAGGATTTCATTCCAAAATGGGCTAGCCGTCCACAAGTTTAAAAAAAGTAAATAAATAAATAAAAACAACCAGCCTACTCTGAAAACTACTCAAATAAAAATGGGCTGTAAAAACGCAATTATTAAAACAAGTGGAGTATATTTCTGAAATGCAAAAAAATAATAAAAAAATTTCAGAAATGCTTTTTTTTTTTTTTTTGGCAAAAAGATTCAGCATTTTGGAATGCAACCCTTTACACACAGACGCACACAACACACACACACACTCACCTCTGCAGTTTGTTCTGTCTGAATCTAAAATAGTTGGTTTGCTCTCCTCCTTATTGCAATACCACAAATTCCTTTATTTTAAAACCCCTCATTTACCCTTCCTGATCCTTCTTTTGCATCTTTTATAACATACGTATTTGCCCTTTTCTCACTTCACTGTTCTGTCAAATTTCTCCTCTTTTGCATCTAAAGAGGAAGAACTAAAACACAGTGTTCCCTCTGTTTCAATAATACTTACCAAATAACGGTCCCGTGTGCAGATGAAAACGAGCTTTTGTGCAAATTTGTTGCAACAAAAAACTGTTTTCAATAGTTTCTGAGCTTTCACAAAGTAATTTTCTGTTTGATACCGTGCGTGCTAACACTGTAGGGCTCAGCAACGCTAAAGGGAGAAGCTAGTTAAGCATAATAGTCAAAACCAATGTGCTAAATTCGTCCTGTGTTTCTGCCCTCCACGCTTAAGGGAGGGGGGCACTTTAATTCTGACAGTTGGACTTATGCAGCCTCACAGCTATCTTCGCTGGGTTTTATGTTGCTGGGTTTCATGGCAGCCTCCTTCCTGAGTCTACCATACAATATCTTCTTAAGAGATTCTTCATGCACCACTGATGGCCCCGAGTTTAAAATCCCTGCTTGGTAAAACAAAGACTATCCTCACTGGAATCACAATGTCTTTCCTTTTCTTACACTACAGAAATGAGAGATTTGGACTGATACAGTGGGATGTAATACACACTGTAGACCTGAACTGAACTAGCATCTCTTAGAAGTACAAACAGTTTAAAGCAGCCTCATAATAAACTATTAAACAACTGCTTTCCTCACTGACAAACATTTCTTTCTCACACACACACAGAGATACACATGCACTGTATTGGAAAAGAAAAAAAACAAAAAAGAAAGATTAAACCTTAACATGAATCCCAGTTAAAATAAGGTTTACTGATGCACGTACACGAATGCTCACAGCACAGTGAAATACAGCACAAACGGCAACGGGAAACAGTGCGATACACGACATTATGAACACGTAACGAGTGTGTAATTTAACTCTTGGACGTGTTTGTGTGCGACGCTGGAGTGTTTGAGTGGGAAGGTCACGACTGCATGTACCCGTTATGTGTGCGGTATTTATGAGCAGAAATGGTTCCCCCCCTGTTGTGCAGACACATATTGTTGTGTGTGTGTGTGTGTGTGAGAGTGTGTGAACTTTACCAGCGGTGAAAGGAAAGACCCCTGTGTATACAGAGAAAAGAGATCAAAGACTCCCCTGACCAGTGGAGAGCTGGCCCAGATCAATGTGTGTCTGTGCTTTACTATGCACAAAAGAGTGTGACAACAAAAAAAGAGAAAGAGAAGCAAAGGGGGGTCCGAGAGGACGGAGAAGCAAGTATATGTCTCAGTTTAGCACTGAATTTGCTTTTAACAGACAAATAAAGGCGCGTTTGACGAGACAATTACCAAAAAAAACACATTTTCTTTTCAATTTAAACAAATGAACAAAAAAACCCCACTTTGTACGAATGTGATGTATTCAGCAATTAGCCTCTGTGACGACCTTTTGTAGTTTTTAAATGTATGTGCGATTCTCAATTAAAAAAAAAAAAAAAGATTTAGGTCAGTATTTTGTTACAAGAAGTGCATCTATGAAGCGCCACGTGATGTAAGAAAAAAAAAAAAACTCTTCACCAGCATCACTACTGTCAGATGAAATTATCTGGTAAAAGTACCAAGTCGACTAGAGGACAAGGGTAGTTAGCATTTTCTCTCACTCCTTCTACACTGTGCTCTCTTCCAAGGTGATGAATCCTGCGTAAGAGCTTGGCTCCTCGACGCAGAGGGACTTTCTTTAAAGATGTGTGCGTCATAAAATTCCTGCCGTAGTCCAAAAAAGAAATATAAATAAAAAAAAACCCCAACAGCAACAGAGACAGGAACTCACGCTGCAATGGAGAGATTGGCAGCAGACAGCGGGCTGACTTCAGCCACTTCCTTGGCTTTCTGCAGAGCGATCTTCTGACTGGCAGCCTCCTCTTCCTCCTGCTCATCCTGCAGAGAGGAAGTGGGAGAGAAATCAAGAGATGAATGAATTGAAGGAATAATGCAAATGAGGCAAACGGACGCGGTTCATCGACTTGAGGGAGCTAAACGGGGAAACGGTGGCGAGGTGCTGAGCAGAACCGGACTGTGCCGTACCTTGGTCAGTTCCTGTGCGTTGGCCAGATTGTCCACAGCGATGGCCAAGAACACATTCAGCAGAGTGTCTGGACACGGAGTTAAAAGCCATCCGGCACAGAGGAGATTGCTTGTACACGAGTATACAGCGTGCACATAAAGGGAACTGGCTAAAGCACTTAGTACGTAATTCACAGTGAGTTAATAGGCTGGATCGCACCAGAACCAAGAAGGTGAGAGCTAGCATTCATGCTACAGTAACATCCCTGACACCAGTGACACATAAAATAAATACATGTGTGGTTGACTGTGTGAGCATTTAGCTGTTGTCGTGTGTTTTGTGTGCACGTCTCTGTCAAGGGATACAGTTGCCAAAAAGCGTGAGGACGATGAAGAAGACAGAGAAGGCCATGCCCTTGTTGACTCCGCCCTGAGACTTGATGCCATCGTACATCACCATGTTCCAGTCCTCGCCGGTCAGGATCTGTTGACGAGACGACATTTAGAGAAACACCTGGACACGTTCTAGCTAAATCACGGCCCCGGCTAATGACATTTAAGAATTCAAACGTAGCATTCTACATTTTATATCACTTCCTCATGTATAAATCCTGCTTAATCCTTTAATCGTTTAGTCCTAAATCCAGCCCTGGTCCTCTCCGGCTTCCTCCCCTCCCCTCTCTCTCTCTTCCCTTTCACAGTCTCCTCTGCTCACCTGGAACACTGTCATTATTGCTGCGGGGAAGGTATCGAAGTTGGTCGGAGGGGTGCCATTTTCAAAATTAAACCTAGCAGAGAGACACAGAAAGGGAAACGTGTGAGAGAAAACACACACGGCAAAGGTAGAGAGGCAGGAAGAGTCAGAGAAATTAGTAAGAATCAGACACAACAAACTTCTGCCTCAGAAATGAGTCAGGCAACCTGGCAGTGAACACAAACCAATCTCTTAGTAGGAAATTAAACGAAGCCTATTAAAAAGAGACGGAGAAAAAGGGAGGAGCAGCACTGACTGTCCTCCGAAGAGCTGCATGCCCAGCAGGGCGAAGACAACTATGAAGAGGAAGAGCAGGAAGAGCAAGCTGATGATGGACTTCATGGAGTTGAGCAGAGAGACGACGAGGTTACGCAAAGATGCCCAGTACCTGACGAGCAGAGAGGGGGGATTTAGTTTGGGTTTACGTGACCGTTTTAATGTGTTTAATTTGGCGTTACTGCGACTGACTCACTTGGTGACTTTGAAGATCCTCAATAACCTGAGAGCTCGAAGCACACTGATGCCGAATGACGTGCCCGGCTGGATGATGGACCACAGCACTTCAAATATACTCCCACATATCACCTGAAACAAACACATGCAAGCATGGTGAGCAAATAATACATCCGTGTGTAATGAGTGTCAACGTATACGGGTGTGTGTTTGCTTTGTTTCCTTTGTTTACGTGGGTTGTGTACCCAGAGTGCGGCGGGACTCACAATGCAGTCGAAGCAGTTGAAGGAGGAGTTGAGGTAGGCCTGCTTGCCCAGGCCATACATCTTTATCATCATCTCTGACAAGAATATCCCCAGGAAGATGAATTCAGCAAAATCTACGCGGAGGGAAGAAGACAAGAAGAAGAGGAGGGAGGGAGGATGTCAAAAGTGAGGCAGAGGCCATCCGTCGCCGTGTCCTTCAACACGGATCTGCAATTTATCTGTTTTTCCATCTATACATGCCTGCAAGGGAGGGTAGGTCGATTTATGTGTTTATTTGAATATAAATACGAAATAAAAATGCTATTTTGTAATTTGTGTGTCAAAATACATTAAAGTTGTTCATTTCTTGCATCATAAAGCAGCAAAGCTCAGCGTCTCACTGCATTTTGAATTTTTTTTTATCTTGGGTTTCACCATTTGGGTAAAACAGGATTTCTATCTCAGCTCTGTGACATCCAAACACTAACTTTTAATCACCACGTGGTTTATTTTGGAATGCAAATCAAATTAATTTGTTTTTTGGGTGAATGAGCGAATAAGAAAAATATTGTGCATTTTTTATTTCACTTTTTTTTTGCCATCCACTGACCTAAAGCCTTCTATATTTTTTTTTTTAAATATTAAAATACAACAAATTATTTCAATGCATCTTCCGGTTGCTGTATTTCACAAGTGATTTGAATCTCTTTATTTCCACTTTGTCTCTCATTTAGCTCGTTTGATCGAGCATCTGTGCGTCTACATGTGTCACATACTTGTTAAAATGGAAGAAATATGGCAAGAGTCTGTGTGAAAGGAAAACCCTGTGTGTTCGGATGTGCTTGTGTTAAACGGTTGGGTCAGCTCTTTCAAGGATTTAGTCACATTACTGGAGAATTTGCTCACCCACTCCCTTCCAGTAATCTGCAATGACAGTATTTGTGCATTTGTGGAGAAAATCTGTGCACGCTTGCACTAAGTATGCATGTATCCTCCTCCTACTCACATAGAAAATCTGAAAGTGGTTCAGGCTGGTCGTAGTGCACTACAGCCACACACAGCGTGTTGAGGCCCACCAGGCACAGCACGGTCCAGTAGAAGGCCTGCGACTTAACGACGTGTCGGATAAGGAAGCGTAATCTTCGCTCCCGCCGCTTGAAAGTTGAGCCTTCGAGTTTGGAGCTCTTCAAGCTGGCGCGAGCAAACGGTGAACCTGGAAGGGTAATGAAGGCACATTATTCATTTTACGGTGAAATGAACCGTGGTTTCATGGAACGATTGTGCACCGAAAGCAGTTTTAAAACAAGACTACAGGTCACCTATATATTTGCACAGCTGTGATGACTGCTGTTGATGCAGTGACTTTGTAGACTGTATAACAAGAAGACAAGGTTTATTCGTAATTGTTGTGATTCCAAAAGCCGCAGTCGACCTTGCTTTGTGATGTTCCCCCTATAGGTCATGTGCTGGATTGCATCTCGCACATGCATGTTGTTATTTCCTATAAGGAGGTCAATGCTCAAAAGGAATACAGGGCATAAGATGTGAATGCATAGTAAAAAAAAAAAAAGACTCCACTGAGCTCGACTTGTGCATTTGCAAGCACACATAGTGACACGCATCCAATAAATGATGCACAGACAGTGAATTATATAAATACAATGACTTGAGTAAAAGAAAGCTGTAGATCAAAAAAACTCAGATTTTTATTTTATTTTTTTTGTCGTCATCTCGTTCTGATGTTTTGCTTGTTGGAACACAACTTATAGCAACAAGCACTTTTCTATATCTGCTTCATTTTAAAGTAAACACTAATGCATAATTCAGTTCTGACTCTTCTGCGCCGTCCCAGTTACATGTTGCGCATGATATCACCGCACAGAACGTTAAAAAAATAAACAAATAAATCATCCGATCTTGTGAGAATCAGAGAGAATCGCTTAAAAAAAAAAAAAAAGAAGAGCGGGGCAGGAGGGGAGCAGCGGGAATGAAATAACAAGGGCAGGCAGGTTGAAGACGGGGAGGAGGAGGGGGAAAGATGAGGGGCTGGAGGACGGGGAAAGTGTAACGTTAGGAGAGAGGTGAGGAGCAGCAGAGAAGACGAGAGCAGAGGAAAGGACGGGAGAGGAGAGCAGAGGAGGGTCAGGTGATGCTGATACGCGAGATAAGATAGCATCTCTATGTACCTGTGGTTTGCCTTTCTGTGTGTGTGTGTGTGTGTGTGTGTGTGTGTGTTTACACAGTCACAATGTGGAGTAAATGTGTAGTAAATGAAGGTTAAGATAAGGGTAGTTAAGGATATATTACGCAAGCAGCAGTCCTGGAAATTAATCTAATGTCCTCTGATGCGTGTGTTTGTGCACGTACGGCGGAAATAGACCTCACCTACTGCCAGGTCTCCCTCCCCTTCCTCTGGGTTGAGAAGCTCAGCTTTGCTCTTGTGGTTCTTGGTGGCTCTCCTACGGGAACCTGCAATTAAAGGAAAACGTCTCTCTCTGTAACACAACAGCACTGATGTGTTACATTTATTACTATGACGTATTTTAAAATCTCATACCATCGTAATCATTTTCATTTTCATCGTCCGCCAAGATGACCTCTTCTGCAAAACACAAACCAAAATGTTAATACAGTGTGTGCCCTCGGACCTGCACCTGGGTGTGCTGCTCATCCCATCCCTTTGTTTTTTTTTAGCCTTCCTTATTTTTATGTAGATTGTCCGTTTCAAGAAGATCAAAGGTCCGTCCCTCCTATCTGGCCCTTTATCAGCTCCTTCCAACATCCAGCGTCGAACCCTCTTATCTGCTCTGCATCTTTCCTGCCCTCAGCAGATGGGCCGAAAGACTAGAGAAAGAGAACCACGGGCGAAGAGCGGGTCTCCTCCGTCCAAGCATCATCTCCAATCCCCGTCAAAGTGATGTAATTTAAGGCTGCTGTTCACAAATGCGCACTGACCATAACTTAAGTTTGTGGAGCTTTTTGAGGACGGCTTAAACTTACACGAGATACACGTCCTGTTGTACTGAGATACTGGATGTGTCGAACTAGAAGAGCTGGAGACGGTTGTACAAATAAGGAAATAAATGGAAAAAAAAAACAGGAAGCTACAACAGAGAAAATCTCAAATTTATCTGCTAAAAGTGTAATAATTCTGTTTCCGTTTAAACTGCAGTATTCTTGCAAATAAAATACAAATAACATGGATTCTTGCAGTTTATTTTTGCTGCCCAAGTGACTTCATCTCTTGCAGCTACTTCACAGTAAAATCCACAAAAAAAAGGGATGTATAGCCCTATTTAAGAGGCTTTTATTGTGAAATGCAAGCAGTAAGTGTTGATTTTGTTTCAGTCACATACCATCATCACGTGCTTCTGTTTTTGTTTAATGCACAAAAAGCTTTTATACAGTTTTTTGATAGGGCACGCATCCAAATATCTGACAAAATAAACTAATGTATTAACGGTTGCACGTTGTCTGTGGAAAAAGTCGCCTCTCGTGTGGTAAACTGTCCGTACCAGCTTTGCAGATCCACTCCAGATAACCGTTGAGCTCTCGTTCGATCTGCTGCTGCCTTCGGAGCTTCAGGAACTCGCTCCTGTTCTCCACGCGTTCTCTCTCTTTGGCAAACTCCCTGCAGACGCACACAACGTTTATTGTAGATACGTTGCATTTTAAATGTGGCACACATGCATGCATACATACAACGTTCACTAAATGATTCACAGCGTAGGAAAATTATGACTACAACAACCAAAGTCGAACACACGCTTACCCCGACAGCACGCCCAGCACCAGGTTGAGCATGAAGAAGGAGCCGATGATGATGAGGGGGATGAAATACATCCAGTTCCATGCGCTCCCTGAGGCATCGTTGCTCTGGAAACACACACACGGGGACATCAGACGGAGTAATCAATGCTTTGCTCTTTACGCTCGTACACGACATATTAGCACCTGAGCTGAGAGAAACATGGCTCGGTTGACAGTTTATTAACACGAGCGCCGGGAAATATGCTCGAGATGCAATCAGCACTCTTTAATGAGTCTCAGTCGAAGGAAAAAATATATACGTGATCAATATTACAGCAGCAGTGGTCATAAATTAGTAAAGCAGACAAATGTAGAGAAGCTGAATTAGTTGTGATTAAATATATTTTGGTTTATCTGTTTTTTTGCTGGCCTTTTTTCGATAGGGAAGTCGAGAGAGAGACAGGAAAGTGGGGGAGAAGAACGGGGGAAGGACCTGCAGGAAAGCGCCATGAGTGGGACTCGAACCCGTGACCTCGGCGTTGGGGACTGTAGCCCCTGAACCTCAGCGCCCCTCTGCAACCCTTTTAGGCCTTCTTGTGGATTTTTTCTTGCGTCCAAACACCTTCTGTCTTAAATATTCCCTCTAAGAAGCTGTTAATCTAATTAAAGAACATCCGAAATAAAGCGCCGCGTTAATAATCTTGTAAATAAACGTCCAGCCGTTAAAAAGACGGAAGCACTCAACGTTGCTGTCCACTGCTGTCGGCAGCATAAACAACAGCAGGGCCGACATGATTTTGCTTTAAGTCATCTCAATAAGTAAATGCATATCTGCCACTCTATTTAGCTGCTCTGTCGGAGTAAATAATGTATAGCAAATGCTTCGCTCCCTCCCTCGCCGTCTCTGCCTTCCTCCTGTCCAGACTCTCTTTTCATTTCTTTATTCACTCCTTGTTGTCTCGTCTTCTGCATCCTCCTTTGGAAGCCCTTCACCCTGCTTCATATATCTTTTTTTTTTTTTTTAATTCATCATTATTTCCTTTAGTCCTACTTTCTTATTTTCTAGCTCTGTCCATCTCCAGACTGTCACTGATCAGCTTCTGCATCGATTCCTCATTTTACCCTCCCCACCTAGAGACCCTTTGCTTTTCTTTCTTGTCCCTCCCTTTGCCTCCCCGTCTGTCCTCCCCCGTCTCCTCCATCTTTCTTTCTTCCTGCATGTACGCTGGTATTGCCGCTGTGTACCCAATGTACCGCAGACCCTTTTTTCTACCATTAAACTTTTATTGCTCCCCTCCCCAGCAGCTGCAAGAATAACTTGGGCTGAACAGGCCCTTTTAAATATAGAGCAGCACCGGGAAGGAGGGACACGGGGAGAGAGAAGCCGAGTGAGAGGGACGGGAGAGAGGAGGAAAAGGGGGGAAGGGATGGAGGACAGAAAGATAAGAAGGAAAGAAAAGAGGGAAAGGATAGAGAACAAAAAAAAAAAGAACAACAGGAAGAATAAGACGGACGGAAATGGAAACGAGACGGGAGAAGAGACGACTACAGTAACACTCAGAGACCCTCATCTACCTCTGGTCTCCATGGCAACCGTTGCCACTGACAGCGGGGAACGTTTCAGTCTTGGACAAGAGTGATGACACTGTTCAGAACCCGGTACCCATTTTATGGGTGGATGCAGAGGAACGTGTACGAGATTTAAAAAGCTGGATTTAAGCGTTTTATCAGAAAAAAAAAAAGAAGAAAAAAAAAATCTAAAGTCCAGCTGCCCTTTTAAGGTTTTCAGATTTAATTGCTTCATTTGAACCTTTTCAGAATATTGTGCAGCATTCAAAACGGCTACCAAACGAACAGATACTGTAAAATGTACGTTAAATGCTTCAGGTGTTTGTCTGCTGCTGCGCTCCATCCATGACAAGGACTGATGGGTTTTGCATTCTGGGCTTCTTCCCATAAATAATCCTTGCTACGCTAAACCTAAAGTAGTCTTTTAGTCCTGCCTTACTAGACGCATCGGCCTCCACACGCATAAGTTTCTCATAAACTGGTCAGTGAACATGCAGGCGTGTTGGGCGGTACCCAGTAGAGCAGCTCAGTCCAGCCCTCCATGGTGATACACTGGAAGACGGTGAGAATAGCGAACAGGATGTTGTCGAACTGGGTGATGCCGTAGTTTGGTCCCAGCCAGTACTGTCTGCAGGTGGTGCCTTCCGGACACAGCCGCGACGGCAGCTCGGTCCCGCATGGAAACTCTTCCCGGATCTCACCTGAACAAACAGAATGCAGGTAGATGCGAATATGTCGCAGATTAAATGTTATTTCTGATCTCTAGAGTCCTTTCAGGGTAAACGCACCAAACGAGGCTACATCATCGCCATTACCATCACAAAACAAAGCACTACACACAGTTCGACGCCAAGCATGCTATTTAGATGGACTACATTGCATTTCTAATTTTAGCGCTGCAACTATTTAAAGTCTACCTCAGCAGGAACAGGTGCAGGCGTCTCTGGGGCAAACAGCTAGCAAATGAATCCTGACTTCACTCTTGGCAAACACACACATACACAGACACACACACACAGACTGCGTTACCTGTGTGATTGTCGAAGCAGGTCGTGTGGAACTTGCCCATGTAGAACTCCAGGCCGATGATGGCGAACATGAGGATGGCAAAGAAAAGCAGGAGGCCAATTTGCAGCAGGGGAATCATGGCCTTCATGATGGATTTGAGCACCACCTGTAAGCCTGAAGGACACATTTTTTGGCATCATCCTTTAATTTAAATGTATTTTTTGTTACAATAAGAATCACAGGATGCTAAAAAATTTATCTTATTAGTTACCAATTTAGGAAGAAATCCCTTTACATCGTCCACAACTGGTCATTTTTTCCACACAAGACAACCAGTTGAGGACTGATTTGATGACACATGAAGGCATTTGGTGTCATTTCGTGATTTTTGTTTACTTTTTGAAGCTTTTGTCATGTAATCTCCTCACTTACTGATGCCAACCAAGCTGCTGCACCCTGTGAATGTATGTGATTCAAACACAATTCAGTTACGGCGACATAAATAACTACTTTTAATTATTTCTTTTTCAATAACTGTTGGTGGAAACTGGTCGCTCTTTTCAGCTGCACATCACACACCGGCACGATGCTCTAATTTGGTTTTTAAGTGACTTTCATGATGAGTAAGCCCTGGTTTGCCTATTCAGACCTGTAGTAGAGAACAGGCTATTAATAACCCTGCGGTGGCAGTGGTGCTGGAACACTACTGCCACTATAACATTTAAAAAATGAGCATTGTGGGCACAGAGGAGTCGCTTTTGTTGGTGCATCGTGCGCAAAAGACGCACAAAAGCTTCACGCAGATTGCTTCTTCGTGCTATTTCTACTCTCTAATACAAAGGTGAGAGATTAGCAAAAATCTTTTTGTGTGTGAGTGACTTACTGGGAATACCGGACACCAGTTTGAGAGGCCTTAAAACTCGTACAGCCCTGAGGGTCCGCAAGTCGAAATCTGAGCCCACAGTGGACAGAATCCTAAAGGGGGAAAGACAAATGCACAGAAGTGAGCGCAGAGAATCAATATTTAAGCGAGTCAGGCTTGTCACTGTCAGTCAGCCTCCCCGTTTCTCGCTTGCTTTCTGTCAGATACACACACACACACAAAAAAAAACCCAAGCCAGGTCATTACAAACAACTGGGTGAGCACTGTATGTAAATCCTGTAAAAGCCGAGCTGATCAATACAGCTGACAAGTGAAGTAGGACGGAGGAGTGTATCAGGGTGAAGGAGGGGATGGGCCGAAAGGGAGGGATGAGAGAGGCACTGTGAAATGAAAAACAAAAAAAAAATGGAAGAAGATGGAGAGATGGGAGGACAAAGGGGGAGGAGAGATAAAGTTGGTGGCATCTAGAGACAGAGTGAAAGACAAAGGGAGCGAGGGGGCACTGGCAGATGGCTGAGAGAGAGATGCTGACTCGCTGGTTTCTGCCTATTCTTATTCTCGGCGCATTTAAAATCTTCAACCGGTCCTCAGAGTGCAGCGTAAACACATTGCGGTTTGTGCCGCGGCACCTGTACCGCCACTCATCATCCGAATAAGAAATTGTAAACAGCATGCGTGTGTGTGTGTGTGTGTGTGTGTGTGTGTGTGTGTGCTTTAGAGGGTTAAGATGTTCCCTTGCGCCGCCAGACTTCCAGTCAGTCCCTTCGTCTGACGCACACTGTGAATCATCCTACTTCCCACTTCTCTCTCTCTCTCTCTCATCCCTTCCTCTCTCTCTCTCTCTCATCCCTTCCTCTCCCTCTCTCATTCGGCGTCTCTGACACATTTCTACTTTCCTCTATTCCACTAAGAGGCCCAGTGACACAGCAGAGCCTTAATCACAGGTTTGAAGTCCGCCTGCTTTTGCTTGGAATCCTGCACGCTCAGATAGAAGGATAAAACTGACTCAGGGTCTACGGGTGAAGGTATACTTAGTTGTGGTTTTGAATTCGGTGTCGTGTTACCAGGAAGCCCCCCTCCAGTGGTGGGTGCTCCATCGCTAGCGCAGGTCCTTGTAATGACATTGTGTGATATCAAATGCCTCATCAGAGGCCGACTTGTAACCGAGAGGTTCCTGAGGCATTAATGTACTTCGGCTGCATCTCTCACAGTATCTTATGGTGACATTTGCAAAGAAAAAGAAAAAAAAAAAACAAAGAACAGAAATTATCCAGAGGTATTACTGGGATTGATATTAATTAAAGCCAGAAATGGAAACACTTTCTACTTAACAAACCAACAAAAACTGCTTGTCACAAAGCAAATCAACTGACTTGAATTCCAATGACAAAACGGTGTCGTTTAGATGAGGAGGATCGCTAAGTTCTGTCGCCGTGGAGGTGCTTTTAAAGGCGGATCCTCATTTTGTTTGTTTGTCATCTGCGAGCAAACACCACAAACCCTTGCCAGAGGGGTGTACAGCCAGGCAAGATTAATGGCAGCGAGGTACGCTGAGCCTGAAGCCAGAGTTTTCAATGTCATGAAGGTGGCTCTCTGTTAACCTGCTACGTCACCATGGTAACCGATGCTGCACAGCTGGAGCTGGAGCTTCGAGACGAAACAAGAAGCGCCGCCCTTTCACCACTTCTTTTCCTGATGCCACCTGCAACCGAAGCTGATGATGCAAAAAAATATATATTTCTACGCTCGATTTGCTGCCAAGTCTGTTTACACTGCTGGTGCTGCAAATTGATTAGTCTATTGGCATTTATCACAGAGGATATTCAATCAATAATCACATTAATTTCACTTTGACTCGTTCAAAAACTAATTTCCACATATTATGGGATGATTATGGGGCAGTGTGGGACCTAAATGGACTTCACGAGTATCATGTTTAGAAGTTTAAAGTTGCAGAGCTCTAATGTGCAGCTGTTAATAAAATAAGCAGCTGCATTGAGAGACGATTAACAACCTTCTACCAGCTTCCCCCTCTCGCCTTATATCCAGGAACAGTGCATTTAACTACTCTTCATAGCTCCAAATTATAAGAACTTATTACTCCTGACTGAAGTAGGTGGCAAACAATCGGTACTTTTTGCTCGGAAGAGGAGTTAAATGATTTACGGAAGCATCTGAAGAATAAAGAGTTGATAGTATTGGGTCTTGTTGAGCCAACAAACACAGAGAAACCTTTACTACTTGCTCCGTACTTCACTCCTCAGGTCATTCAAAGACACTCAGCAAGGCTCCACTGAAGAAATACAAACTAAAAATGTCTGAAACATGCCAGAACCAAAGCAAAGCGGGTTCTCTTTTCCTACTTTGTCATGAAATTTTCAGAGATCATGTCTTTGAACATATGTTGCAAATTTAATCTATTTTAATTCAATTCAGTTTCATTGATATGGTACCGATTTACGACACAAGTCATCTCAGGGCGTTTCACATAATAAGGTCAAGATCTTACAGTATGATATTATAGACACTGAAAGTAAAAAGATCAAACTAATTCCCTGTTCGCAGGCTGTTTGGTGGCAAAAACAAAAGACACACTGCATGTTAATATTTGATAATTAGATTATTTTTCCCAGCAGTTACCACTTGGAAACAACTCAATGAATCACATCCACTAACATTACTGTGAATGATTTTGACTGTGATGCTACACAGAATTAGCTTTTTGTCTTTCTATGCTGGATCTCATGTTGCAAGACGACAACAGTCGTATTTAAATAAATGAATGGTGCTGCTCTTAATAGCTGGACGACACTGTGGAGAGCTGGGAGGTCACCGCATGACCCACGAAGCAGGTAGTAGAGAAATGCAATAGGTACTCTACAGGGAGCAGGAAATGACCGAAATAAAGAGGAAAACTAGAAAAGATGAAGTAATAAAGAAGCTGATTGGTAGCTGGCTTTATAAAATCCATGTTGTGAAATGTAGGAACCTACAGTATTAAGACTAAAGCATCATATTTAAACTCTAAATCAAGGTGCGTGGGCATGGGTTTGTGAAAGGAACAACCTGCACATCTGCCGGGAAATACAGACCGAAAAAAAAGCCCACTGACTGTGTACTGATGTAACACAAGCGCACACACACGAACACACACCTGTCTCCAGCTACAGTGATAAATGGCTACGCCTGCGTCTGCATTATTGGGGGTACAATACAGACACTGTCCGGGTAAAATCCTGCAATTACACATTAATGCATCTCATCTATTCATGTGACGTCGCCGCAATTACAGTCAGATCACCGACGATGATGATGATGATGATGATGATGATGATGACAATAACGACGGTGGTCATAACGATGACGGCGAAGCGATAAAGAATTCAGTTTCGAAAACAGCATCCGCCGTCACAAACAGTGTCAGACCGATGAGGCAGTTCCTCATTCACACCGTCTCCACGGTTACTGGGCCCTTTCTCATTCATAAGTGTTTCCATGGCAACAGGGACCTTGGCTCATTGATAGAATCTCTGTATCACCTTGGTAACAGGGCCAAGGGAGGAGCCAGATTGATTGTTTTGTTGTTTTTGTTGTTTTTTTTCTCCCCCCCCCCACCCACCTCCTCATTTCTCTATTTAATGTAAACGTTTGACGAGCACACAAATGGCACACATCTGCACCAAAAGGTCGGAAACATATTGAGCGAAAATAATTTTATTCAAGGGTGCACACTGGAAGTGGGTCATGAGGAAATAACCGACTGGAAAACAATTTGTCAGGGACAGAGATGCTGTGTGCTCTACTGTAATGTGTCTCATGCGCAGGTAAGCGCACACACACCTGCGCTTGAGGAGGAAGAACACACATGATTAAGGAGGCTCACATGAAGCAGTGTTGCTGTTACACAACCTCCCCGCTGTCCACTTCTCATGGGAATCCAACACATTATACAAACAGTATTTTCTCTCCGTCTGCTTTCCTGCTGACTTCAGCTGAACGAAGGCTAATTATCTGCGTCCACATCGTGGACTAAACCGCTTCATCTCTTTTTCCGAACTTATCTCTCCTTGCTTGCTTCTGCGACCATAATTCAACTGTTTCACATCGATTGCATCTTAAATGTCCTCTCATGTTATTATTATTATTATTACACCTTCCCTTAGCAGGAAAAGATTGTTAACGTCATTTCATCCTCTCTAATGACATTATATTCAATAAATTGTAATTTAGTGGGGAAAAGCACAGGTGACAAATTAAAGGAAAATCACCTCCAGCGAGGGGATCCATTGTGGTAGGTAGTTTGTTGGACTAGTTCGGGTCCACTTGCCTCCTTAAATCCTTCCATTAAGGTTACACAGACTTGTAGAATCAACGCCAAGGTGCATTAAAGCTGTTCTGGTGGCTGAAACCTCACCAAGACAGCTCATGTTGGGTTTTCCTTTTAGTTTCGTCTCCCATCAGAAACCCAACAAGCGTAAATTCAGACAGAACTGACGGTGCCACCTCAAGACGGGCCTAAGCAGTATTTAATCATCCGAATGTTGAAGCTGCAGGGAATTGCGAGGGTTTTTCACAGTAACCTTGAAACGTATTTTAAACTGGGAAACGTACTCCTTGAGGGCGGCGCAGCGATGCGGCGGCCAGCGCGGTCACCTCACAGCGAGGAGGCTCTGGATCTGAAGCTGCTGACCAGCTGGGCCCGTGGAGCCCAGGTGATTCAGCTGCTCTCCACAGTCCAGACATATGGGGTTTAGGGTTTAAATCGCCTATAGGTGTGCATACGAGCTTGAAGAGGAGCCTCTCTTTATGTGGGATTGACTAGTGACCTATATACGGCAGATCTTTTACCGTGTGGCTAGAATTGGCTCCAAATTAATAGATGAGTTTAGCTGATGGCAGGATTTCATTATACTTTACTTATTGCCAGCTAAAAAAAAATAAAAAAAATAATGCCATCCTTCCTAATAATACTAATTAGCAAATTCTGTTTAATGTAAAATTTTGCATGTTTAAAATGGAATATGTTAAACTCACTCAAAGGAGTTCTTTTTGCATTTTATTCAGAAGAACCTGAGGAAAGGGAACAGGAGGG